TTAAAAACTTAAGTTTTAAAAGTGAGGTTTGTTTGCACTGGCTAATGTAAAGCTATCAAATTTTAATTTTTGTTAGTGTTACCTTGTCCCATTACTCGATAGATTCAGTTAGTAGAAAATGAGTAAGTAAAGCTGTGCTCAGGTTTAGTTCTTTGCCCTCAGTAATGTTTTAGTTTTGGGGCATGATTCATTCTCACTTGATTTTTTAATAAAAGTTATACTTGCACTTAGAGTTAAGGAAAAAATGACTCAATTTTTATACTATTTCCATATATTCTAAGTCACATTTGAAATACTATTCTGAGATCCATTTCAGGCATTGTCTCTTGACCTAAATGAATATTTTTCTCTATACCAGGCTCTAATTTACTTTCAGACTTGCACAGAATTGGGAAAACTCCATTTATACAAATCCATTTATCAGCTTCATGTTTTTCTTAGGTCTTATATATTCCAATCTGAACTCATTGTCCTTCAGAATTGTTGAATAACTTGAGTTGGGGCTTTGAAATCATTGGCAGGTTGTGGGGGTGGGGGTTCCTTTTTCCATTTAGAGCCTTCATTTCCTGAATCCCATAGTTTTTCTTTGTGCATCTTGAGACTTTCATGTCTAAAAGGATCTATTTCACTATAACAAGATTAGTAGTTTGGCTAGGTAGAGAATTCTAGATTTAGTGAAGAAATGTGATGCTTTTTTGATCAAATGAAATATTTTTACTCTGAAATAGCTTTGGGTTTTTACCTCTGTCACCAGTGTTCTCACATATCATGACTGTCTGGTTTATTTTATCCATTGTGCTGGGTACTCAGTGGTTCCATTATTGTATAAACTTGCTCTTCAATTCTGGGAAATGTTACTGAACAGATTCTTCCCTCATTCCCTTCTCTGCCACCCCAATCTCTGTTCTCTGAATTGTACTTGGGTGTGAGCCCAGGACATCTATTTTCCTATTTTCCATTGCGGTCTGTTATACTTTATGAGTAATTTTCACAACTTAATCGTTCAACTTTTAAAAGGTTTTAAATTTTACTCATCTCTAATTTCTAAGACTTTACCCCTTCAGCCTGTGTTACAAACAGCAACCTGTTTTTACATGGATGCATTCATTATCCATACAAGTTTATTAACCTTATCTGTTAAGGTTTGTTTCCTCCAAGTCGCTTTACTTTGATGTTGCTTTGGCCTCTCATAGTGGAGATTTTCCCCACGTTTGGTGATCCTTGTTTCATATTTGGGGGTGGAGCATTTTAAAAGCTGATTGGATGTTGTGAATTGGGGTGGGAGGTGGGAGCTTGTCAACCATGGGGTTCAGTATTGGGTGATCTGGCTGTGTCATCTTATTGAGGAACTCCTCGATACATCCCCCCCACCCCGCCCCCGGATCTGGTCAGGTTCACCAGAGAAGTCTTTTTCCATTCTGCTGTCTGAAGGGTAAGAAACCTGGCTGCCAGCCAAGGGATCTCAACAAATAAACTAGTATTTTCATCACTGTATGCCTATTGAGTCCAAAGATCACTCTCCCTTACCCACTTCAGGTAGTCTCCAGTTTTTTTGCCAGGATGGGGGAAATTCAGTTGTCTAGCAGTACAGAGAGGATCTGGGGGTTTAACTGCTTGTCTCAAACCTCTTTTAGTGTCTATATTTCTGAAGGTACTTGTGCTGCCACTTGCTAATAAGCCTTTGGGGTGGGTGGTGGTCTGTGGCATAAACAGATAATCCTAACAGGATATTCAGTTTTCATGTCTGCTTAGTAAAATTACCATTTGTTGAGAAACTGCAGCTTTCATAATTTGCTGTTGTCTCTGCGCCCATTCTTGATCCTTGATGGTTTTTTTGTTGTTGCCCCATTCTTTTTAAGTACTGATTTTTAGTATTTGAGAAGGGGCTGGAAGTGATAAGGTCTATTTTTGCAGCCTTTTTGTGTGTGGTTGGTGATGGAAGATTTGAGGAACAAAAAAGGGTAGGCAATTTAAAATAGAGGTAGTTCAGTATTCAGAATTTAGCCCACAAAGTTCACAATTTGCTAGTTACAGAATCAATCCATTTTTACTAATGGACAGTGTTAGGTAACTTTGATTTCAATTTTTGCATCAGTTTTGTACGAGCTACCAGTCCTCCTTTTCAAGTAATGTATGAACCTTTTAGGTCTGCCCTAATTCAAATTTTGATAAATATTGGTTTACTAGATGTCTGCAACCCAGGTGAGTTAATCTATCTTTCTAGGGTTTTGGGTTTTCTCTTATTCTTTTTGTGTCATTTAATGTGTATTATAAGATTTCAGGTCTTACTACCATGTTACTCTTTCCACATTAGGATGGCAGTTGCTTTATTGTTTGTTGGTGGTGACAAGTGTTAGAATACAGTGTGGAACACCTGTCCAGGTGCCATTCATACTGAGATAATTTTGAAAGGTAGTCTCAATAATGTTGGGATCTAATTATTAGGCCTTTGTGTTCTATGTGTGCTTTCATTGTTTTACTGCTTGGAAAAATTTTTTTTAAAGTTATTTTGTACTTTAAAAGTACTTTATGTCTAGAGCTTTGAAGTATTGAGAATTTTGAAAACCAAGATTGAACCCACTGTCCACTACACTATTTGTATTGGTCCTGGAATGTGTAATGAGTTTATTTGTTTGGGGTCAATATTAACCTCAGATGTCAAAATCTAGATCCATGCATAATAAATATACTGACACATCTCAGTGAATTTCTTTGGGAGCAGTTTTAATAGCGCAGTTTATCAGTGTGCTAATAAGCAAGGATGGCCTGAAACTTCATGAAATGTGATTTTTTTTTTTTCCTTTTGACAAAGTTGAGAAGGGTACATACTTTATCCTTTCTTCATTACTGGCCATATTTAGTTTAAGAGTCTAGCTTGAACATTTCCATGGGTAAAAGTGATTCATAAAGATGAATATCCAGTTGTGCAAATTGAATCTACTTGGCCTGTTGCTTGCTGTCAGTTGCCTGAAATCTAGAGTTGATTATAATCTGGTTGGCATTTCAAAGAGGCCTGCAGGCCATTTACATCAGAATCAGCCATTTGGGAGTGTTCCCTGGGATTCTGTATTTCACATACCCCACGTAATCTTTGCTACACTAAAGTTTTAAAGACTTGTTTTAAGATGGATAGAGTTAAACATGCTGTTCCATAAAGATTTTTTTACTGTTCTCGTAAAAAATGTGCATTTTCGTAAAACAGACCACTCAAGCATTTTGATCTTGGACCTTAAGTCTAGCTTGAAAAAAAAAAATCTGAAAAGACTTCGCATTCTAATGAGTGTACATGACAAAGAACAAGTGTCCTGAGTGGGAAGGGGACTTGGTGGGGTGGCTGTAGGCTGGAAACATGGTGAGTTGGTTTTATTTTTTAATTCTCCACAGGCAATACACTTTCCTTATTTCCTGCGTATTGCCCCCTTTGGTTTGTCACTGATCTCACTCATCCTTTCCATTATTATGAAATAGTAATCAGCAACTCATTGAAATTGACTTCGTCTGGAGTTGGGTTAGTTAATAAATATTGCCCTGTTCTTACTATCTTGTAGATTCTCAAGAAGGGTGTGTAATTCCAGCAGCCTCAGGTAAAGACTGGGATCCAAGGGACTATAATTTAGGAAGACAGCAGTGAGGTAACT